AAGAAAGCCAAGCGCAGAATGAACAGAGACGAGGCTGAGATCAGGGACCGTGGAATGAAGCCAAAAAGCAAGAAGCAGAGGATGGGTACGGTGAAGCGGAGGGAGAGGAAAGCAACATCACTCTCCACGTCAGACGTGTCTCAGTCAGATGACTCTGAGGAGGACATGACCCATTGTCCTGCAGAGAGCTGTCATCAACCTGAGGGTGAAGAGGTATGTGAAGCTTTACTGGTAAAGTAGCTATTGTCATTCTGTAGAATACCTTGAGGTTTTAAACTATGCCAAGTAAAAGGTTACATTTCACAGCCAAAAACCATCAGGCATTCTTTATATTGCCTTGGCATTCTATAGAATACTGGGATTTCACACTTTGCTGGTAACATATAAACAAATTTAAGCCAAACTACAGCTGTAATCGGGCCTAAAAAGTTTAACCGAACCCGAGTATGTTTACTTTTGTGAGCCAAAACTCGACCTGAGATTATTCAAGTGAGCTTTCATGAGGTGGAGGGCAATATTCTGGACAATAATCTGGGGTTAAAGGTGTGTGTGACAAACTATCTTAGACTTTTTAATGAGACAATGTAAAATCATCTGCAGTGACCCATTCAGCTGATCAGTGTCTGTCAGCCCAGCTTTACATCTATGAATACGCCAAAATAATCCAGTTATTGTTACTATGGGATGGGTACTGGTGGATTGATATTGTAAGTGAACAAACCAAATGGGAGAAACCGTACGAAATTAATCAAAACCTGCCAGCCAATCAGAATCCTGTTCAGACAGACCATTGTATAAACATTTATACTAAAGGTAATCTCCAGAGAGGAGCCTCTATTTCACCACCTCTGCATCCATCCTCTTGTTTCTCAGCCATCTAAACACATCACACGCACCCTAGAGCCTGAGCCCAGCCCAAGTCCATGTACAGTTATATAAATTAAGCCCAAGCCCGACCCAATTCAACTGGTCCACCTTTCCTCAACTGGTCTTGTTAAGTTTGTATCATAACTCTCTAGTTAATTTGAATCGAATTAAACAAGTCAAGTGTGAAAGCTGAATATGAGCCCTTTGATTCCCCTCAAAGTTTGATTTCAATTGAATACAATTATTCAGCTACAAATTACAAAAAACTAGCGTTGTCATTGTTCCCATCATCTGTTTTTGTTTAGAGCTTGCAAAATATCAATTTAAATTGCGATTGGTTACATTTCAATCAAATTCTTTGCTTTTCTGCACAGTCAGGCTGGTTGATTAGTGCTCTCAAGAGTGGAAGGACTGAAGACTTTGATTTGTCAAGACTGACTGGTTTGTGTGTGTTTCAGGTGGACTGGGTGCAGTGTGACTGCTGTAACCGCTGGTTCCACATGGTGTGTGTTGGAGTATCAGCAGAACTGGCAGCTGAGGAGGACTATGTGTGTGTCCGCTGCAGTACAACAAAGTTATGAGATTAGCGAGGACTGCCACCCGTTGTGCTCTCCAACCCTCCTCAAACTGACCTTCTCGTTCTCTTCCCTATAAAGTCCGCCCTTTGTAAAAATGGTGCTATTTTACTCTTCGTCGGACTGTTGTCCTGAATGATTCTCTTTGTTCTTTTTTGTATTTTTACAGCTTTTCTCCTTCTGTCATACTTTTTGTGATTGTATAAATCAATGCTAATTATGCGTAATGCTGAATGAATACAACTGTGCATGGGTTCCTTTCTGTTGTGGAAGAGAGAACCTCCACTCCACTGAATCTTGGTGAAGGTCCTCTCTTCAGCATGCATGGCCAGAAACGCCAAACCACAGCATAAATGAACTTTTCACCAAATACAATAAATGAATAAATACAGAGAAATTATTTTTGTGTAAATTCACAGTTTCAGTACACAAACATCTGGGATTCTCTCCGTTGACATTTTATTCCCTTTTGTAGATTAGTTTTATTTATCGGAGCAATAATGTCATTGGTATGTTTCTGGAGATTTTTCCGGTCTCAGTTGTGTTGGTGCTTTAAAAGATGGGGGACAGATATTCAGGATATGTAATCCACATACATGTCATATTTGTAGCAAAAGAACTTACATATGGTCAAGATGTTTAAAGTGTGAACTTGTGGGGGTGGAAGGGTTGAGGGTTTGACTAGCTTGTTAAAAATGTCCCACTTTATAGTGTGAAATAAATCTTTTTGTCCTAATAACAGACAATCTCTTCTTCATTGGTGGTGGTGGTCCATTAGATTTATTTTATTGGTGCTTTGGACGGCTTCTATTGAACACACTTTTCCTGGTTACAATTTTATATAGGTCTATTACATATTTTTAAAGGGAGTATTAACAATATACAAGTAAATGCTAAATTTACTTTAAAAAAATCCATTCTGGAATTTAAGCCCAAAGACCAGACTGTCTTTAGTTTACTTTAGATTGAAATCATGGTTGCAGGGTTGAACATAGTATGCTAGGGTACATATGGTTGAACATAATGGTGGGTGGTAAATAGAGGAAGCTAGGGTGCCACGCCAACACTTACTTGACCTAAACAAATATGACTACAAAATACTTTGGGGAAAAAACATGTTTACGAATCATATATATATATTTTTTTTTTTTTTTCTGTACAGGTAATAATAAGTAACTAATATTTCTTTATTTTAAAAATGTATTGTGATTAAACAGGATAACGGTGCAGTCCGGGCCTGAATAAGAATTTATTTCTCTAGAAGAATTATTTATTTCTAATACAGTGGTTATTTTCTCGAGTCCTTTCATTCTTTTGTCACATGACCATTCTGTAAAGTTAACCAATGCAGTAAGAACAGGAAACTGAAAATATGTGTTCTTTTTTTCAAGTCCTCCCAGTCCTTTTGGCCTCAATGGCAAAATAACATAAGGATGTTGTGCACGTCGTCTGAGTCTCATGAAGTTTTGTACAAAATAAACAGTTGCTTCAAGAACAACACTCAGGATCAGACCCAGGATAGACTTTAAGCACTTTTTGAAAAAGCAAAAGCTTGGGCTTTCAAAACAGAACAGTTTTTTTTAATGAAAAACTAAAATACTAAGTTCAATAATAAATTTAAATACTTAAATAAATACTTCAATAATATATTTTACTTAAAATAAATGTAACGTTTTTGGTCAATTTTAGTACCATGTCTTACAACTGTGGTTTTGATGGGAATGTAGAAATAACTGACCTCTCTCCAGAATTTTGAGGGTACATAAAGATTGAATAAAACATAAGCAATTAAAAAGTGATCACAAGAGAAAAGGAGAGAGTGACGGCAAGAGAGAAAGTAAGCCCTGTCTGTCGGTTAGCTATAAGAGCAGACAGACAGTTTTCCGCGTGGTGTCGACTGCGCGCTTGAATCCGAGCTCTACAGCAGGTATTTCTGATTAAACTGCACCTGTGAAGATATAATATACATTTATTTTCTGTTAAATGAATATCCATACACAAAACTACGTATATCTTGCTTGAAAAGAGAGTATTTTCAATTAAAAAATATGTACGGAGGACAAGTCCGGGAGCACTTAGAGACCGGGGAGAACGATGATTCGGACACAGAGCAGCTGCTAGCGACTCTTTCACCGGAGGAGCTGGCAGAGCTCGAGCGGGAGATCGTCTACATCGACCCTGACCCGGATGTACCGGTGGGACTCCGCCAACGGAACCAGACCGAGAAACTACCTTCCAGAGGGTACGACCGAGAAGCGATGCTGGACTACTGCGAGCGACAGACCAAGAAACTCATCCGAAGAGAGCTCAGTGCGGAGGTGATCATGGAGACAATAGCAGTAAAACATTTAAAAAGAACTTTTCTCCAAAATTATTATAAACTTTTCCCAACAAGCATCCATAAGTGCTTTTGTTTTTTTTTTCTTTCTAAAAATTGCTTTTTAATATTGATGATGGTCCTTTGTTATGAACTAATTTTTAAATACTTTATTTTTTCGGTCTTTAACTCTTATAGTTAGAGTAACTTTTGTATAGTGTCTGTTTACCTGTAACCAACAATCTAATTTGGCAAAAAGATTGACCTGCATGCCTTCCCTGACATTTAAGTTCCTATATTAATCACCCTTGGCACACACAGGACACTAACTGCTCACAAGGTTTCCATAGTTTGGCGGTTTTTCTTTGCTTTTATTTCCATGTGACAGCAATTCTCGAAAATATTTACTTCATAAGAATGTCTCAAAGCATTTGCCCAACAAATCTCTAAAAATGTTCATGTGAAATTTCTTCAGCTTTAACAAACTTTTGTTTGGAAACAGTGTAAACCTCTCCAGACTGAAAAAAAAATGCTATTTTTCTTTACAGACACGTCTTTATAAACATCTAGTATCCTGGTTTGGTTTATCCTGGTCTCGTTTATACAAGATGTTTTCTGCCAAGAGTCAGCAGTTGGTAACCTGTAAAAGAATCATTTTGATGTTAGTGACAGAGCGGGCCTTTAGGGTTTCTGAGAACATGGCCAGCCAGACTCTCAGAAAACACTTGTGTGTTTTCATGATGTGGAGTTAGAAATGTTAACTAAAAATGACTATTAACTGAACTTACTTTACAAAGCACAACAACATTTGCTTCTGTTTTTTTTTTCATTCATTCATTTTCCAACACGGTTATTCCCTTGTTGGGGTAATGGGGGGGGCAAGAGGCGGGGGTACACCCTGGACAGGTCACCAGTCCATTGCAGACTTCTGTTTTTGTAAAGCCCAATTTTTTACCTCTACATACTTCCAGTAGACCCCAAATGCTGGGGCATTACATTATGATGTGGATCATAAGATCTGTGATTGGTAGGTTTGGTAGCAGAGCATTTCTGGAGTGACGGCAAACATATTCAAGCACCTCCCCTGAGAGCACAAACACAGATACAAACCAAATCACTGAGCAACTGATGGAAGATGTGCAGATATAACCATCTGTCTGACCATTATTTCAGTGGAGTTCGAACATACACATCTACAACAGGAAGATTGTTTTAGATGTGTATGTTACAATATACAAATTGCTTTCCTGTGGCTCAGTTGGTAGAGAACTGCGCTAACAACGCAAAGGTTGTGGGTTCAAATCATAGGGAAAGCAAGAACTGACAGAAAAAAAAATATGTTAATTCAAATGTAAGTCGCTTTGGATAAAAGCTACTGCCAAATGCATAAAATGTAAAATGTAAATGAAATCAAAACACAAGTGAAGAAGTCCACTAGGTGAGCCACTTCTCACAGGTTACAATGATGACATTAAAATATGGACACCACTGCTACCTGCCATTGGGCTATTTGAAGCCATCGGCGAGCTTGAAATGTGAGTGGCCATGACAGACAAGCGCAATTTCTGATAAGGAGGTTACGGCTATTGTTTTAGAGCTCCCCATTGAATCTGGCACCTATTATATTTCCCTTCCTAGTTTTTTGGGGTATAAATGAGCCATCGTGAGCTACACAAAAATACACTTAAAATAAAAAAAAGAACAACTGAACATAGTCCACTGTATAGATAACCATCAAAAACATTAAAGTCATAAAACGTTTCTGAGGAGTTGTTGTGGAAGGGAATCATTCTGCAGCCAGCCACATGGGGGCGATGCATTCTGGGTTACGCAACGTGAAGCCAGTGCTTAGGCTAGATGTAGTATATTGGTTAGGCTTAAGAACATTTTATGCCTGCCCTGTTTAGTTTGAATCTAATTACAGAGATTGTTTGTTTTGCAGCAAATAATCTCAGTAGACGTGTTTGAAAAGGTGGTTTTGATAAGCTTCTAAGTGAACTCTAGAGTAGTTCATTTGTGGTAAGAGGGTGAAACAATCTGATTCGATCAAAAAAGACATATATGCACAAAAGATTAAGATTGAGCTAGCTTCCGTAACCAACTGTACATTTTACAGAGGCTCTGGTGTGACAAAACTCTAAACAACCATAATGTAAATAAAACTTAAACTGTTGCTAAGAATTTCCAATAAATGATGTTGAAAATTGGTGGAAAATAAATGTCAAATCCCTTTGACTGTTATTGAAAGCTACATCACCAAGAAGGCAATTTCAAATATATTACATTATTAGTTACATAATGTCTCCTATTACGTTGCATTCTTACAGCATCATGCACAAAAGAAAGACGTTGTTCTTGCTTTTGTTCACTACTTCTAGGTTTCCTTGCGTGAAATTGGCGAATGGCAGTATCAAATGACATCTCATATTTGCTGGCGGAGCTTTAGCAACGTTGTTACATAACATATCATGCTTTTGGGATTCAAGCTAAAAATTGTGCATGCAAACACTGCACAAATACCGTGGAAATACTTCTTAAATTTCCCCTTTCTTTTCCAGAACTGCTCATACTCCATTCCGCTGCTGCGCATAGTATGGTATCCACAACCAGAGGACAGTGGAGAGGAAATGCCAATTTGTTTAAAAACTTGTACTATTGTTACTTACACTGTGGTCTCTTCCTTACCTTTAGGTCATGAATCAAAACAGAATCGTCCACATTCATCCTTTTCATTAACAAGAACTGTGCAGCCGGCAAGCTCCTCAGCACTTTTCATTTTATCTTTTGTCATTCACCACTGAGCGTCAATTCACTCACAGCTGAATGCATGGTGTTTCATTTGCATAGAATTAGAATCCTTTTTTTCTCTTTACTGGTCATTTTGAATAGTGTTGGTGTGAATGCGAATGGAAAGATTCTTCTTCGGTTCTAGTTGGGAGGGATGCCATTCAGCAATTTGTGACTGATTTTTCTTTACAGCTGGCCTTGGTGAGGTTTTGTAACAGCATTCCATACTTCAGCGTCTCTCTTTTGGCTGCCTTATAAGGGAGCATCTGAGAGTTTTAAGACTTCACCATACAATAGCACACAAATCTATTCTGGACATTCATTCCTTTAAATGAGCGATAAAATAACCCTGCGTCTAAGCACTGGACTGTCTTATTCATACTTGTGTTATCTATATTAAAAAACTAACATTATGACAGTTAGATGTTCAAATGGGAATCTAAAACAAGCAGTTTCTCGAATTGAATGAACTTTAAGTTTTGTTGAACCGTGTCTTTCATGTTCTTTGAAGGGAGGAGATGGCAGAAGAAGAGACAGACTACGCCGGATGAAAAGTAGAGAGTTTTCCAGATCACAGAGTGGGGATCCTCCTGAAATGGACAGCAGACTTATGGACCAAATGGGAAAATGGGAGGAATACTCTAAAGATTTATCTGATGAAGGTGATAAGCAGGGAGAAGAAAAACCAGGAGTCGTTATGAAGGAAAGTGTAAAGGAATTAATGAAGAAAGACAAGGGAAGCAGCAAAACTTTGGATATTATATCTAAACTGCAAGACAAAGGTGAAGATAAGAAAGAAAGAGCAAGGAAGGAAGAGAAAAAAAGCAGTGAGAGCTTCAAAATACGAGATGTTGTCTCCAAACTTGAGAGAAATAAGGATGTTGATGATGTAACTGATAAGAAGAAAGGCAATGAAAGCAGTAATAAAGCCCCAATGGAATCCATGAAGCGCAGAAAAGAAAGCGTAAAACTAAAGGATGCAGAAAAAGAGGTCAAGAAAAGCATATTTCGAAATTTTGAAGAAATAAGCACTGACTTAACAGAGATGGAACAAGAAAAAGAACCATCAGAAAGCAGTTATGAGATCTCAGCTCCTGGTGCGGACACCTTTTCAGTTACTACTGAAGAAGATGAGTCTTTTAGTGAAGACCTGGACAGTGACACTGGCTCTAGCATGTATGACGATCTTCTAGAGCAGGTTCGGAATGATGACCCTGAGCTAACAGAGGTCAATGTCAATAATTCAGATGCTATAAAGACAAACACCCTGATCCATTTTGCAGAGGGTCTTCGCATCAACACGCATGTCAAAAGCTTCTGCCTCGCAAACACAAGAGCGGATGATCACGTGGCATTTGCCATTGCTGAAACCCTGCACGAAAACTCAACCCTTACCGGCATCAACCTTGACTCGAACCACTTGACCGGTAAAGGCATTCTGGCCATCATCAGCTCTCTTCAGCGCAACAGTACACTCATGGAGCTGAGATTTCACAACCAGAGACATATCTGTGGTGGGAAAACCGAGATGGAGATGGCTAAAGTCTTACGTGACAACTCTTCATTGCTGAAGTTGGGATATCATTTCGAATTGGCTGGTCCAAGGATGACTATGACCAACATACTGAGTCGAAACATGGACAGGAAGCGGCAGGAACGAGTACAAGTCCAAAAGCTCTCCAGACAGGAGAGTGTCTCCACCAATGAACCGCCATATGATTTAAATAAGACATCTCCTCTTAAGATTAGACAATCCTCGTCCATAAACTCGTCCATGAAATTCACCACTTCTCAGGAATCAGCTACTCCCACTAAGTCAGAATCTGGAACACACTCTTCAGAGTTAACAAGAAGTAAAAAAGGAGCAATAGGAAATCTTGGAACTTCTCTTCCTCCTCCACCACCTCCCCCTTCAGGTCCACCATTAGATGTCCAGGCTCTAAGGAGCTCACTGACCCCAGTTCCTCAGAAGAAATCGAGCAACACAGCAGCTGCTCGACAGATGGACAGGAGCTTCAGAGACCAGCTGCTTGACTCAATCAGAAACTCCAACAAGATTGCACTCAAAAAGGTAAAGGGGAAATTCGTGGCACATGTTACAAAATTAACTTCTCATAAAAATAATAGCATAATAATATTGTTGTTGTTTTTTTGTTAGAAAGTTATAGAAAGGACAAAGTATGTTAAAAACAGAAAACTGTAAATCTATCATCTAATGTCAGACAATCCATCCATGCAAATCCATCAAAAGTAAAAGAACTTAATAAAAAGACTAAAAGTAAAAAGAAAAACTAAAGTTAAAAGAAGTAAATTTAAAATTGGAGCTCATACTACCCAAATATTTATTGAGAAATACATGTATAAAATGTAATGTTTTGATTTTGTCTATTACATTTGTGTTTTATGAATAGTGTGTATTCTAGTCATACATTTTGTCCATAAATGTTGTAATCTTAATTAATTTCTAGTCAATCCTCCTGCCAGGTTGAGATCCCCAAGTGGTTGCGATAGGACCTGCCCAATCTTCATGCATCCTGTCTTGGAATGGCCTGGAGAAGTCACTGAATCTGAAAACTGAAGATGAGATTTCTCCTGTACTGGCTCAGACTCAAGATATGTGTGATGTAAACATCAGAGGTGGGATTTGTTAACATCTTACTGTGTTTCCTATCATGGACTGACAAGGAAAGCTGTGTGGGGTTTTAGACTAAATGACTTGGGTTATTGGAATGTCGATGTTTTCCTTTCTCTGCATGCAATAAAATATTTTAAACATGTCTGGAAGCAAATACGTCCATTTTTCAGCAACATTGTGTTTGATAAACCTTTAAAATGATTTTAAAGGTTTTAAAATAACATATTATATTGCAAGAAAATTATATTTTTCTCTCTTTTCTGTTCCCTTGCAATGATTGCGTTCCCTCACAAAGATTGCGTTCAATCTGATGGATTGCGTTTCCTCACAAAGTTTTGTGTTCCTTTGCAAAGATTGCATTCTCTCACAAAACACATTTGTGTTCTCTGGCAAGGTTTGGATTACCTCTCAAAACATTTTTGTGTTCCCTTGCAAGGATTGCATTACCTAGCAGAACACATTTGCGTTCCTTCGCTAAACACTTGCGTTCCCTCACAAAGTTTTGCGTTCCTTTGTAAAGATTTAATTCCCTCTCAAAACACATTTGTGTTCCCTCGCAAGGATTGCATTACCTTGCAGAACACATTTTCATTACCTCGCAAAACACTTTTGTGTTTTCTCACAAGAATTGGATTACTGTACCTTGCAAAACAGTTTTGCATTCCCTCTTTGCCCCTACCATCACAGCCATTTAGGGGCTCCGTACTGTCTATGTAGCCCCTGTGCTCCATAGTGTAGACTATAAAGCATGGTCGAACAGTTTTATAAATATATATTTTTTTCATTGTAACTTCCCACACTTAACATATAAACATTCTGTCTGTATTGCAGGATTGGATTAAACTGAATCAGTCATTAATCGTGATTTAAGAGTTGAACTGTTGATTAAATCTC